TGCTGTGGTTTTAAATGTTTGCCACAGGAAGGTCTGGTTAGTAGTCTGGATCAGCCCTTCTAAATTTTCTCCGTTGAAAAAGAAAAAAAGATAAAATCAGATTTGAAGAACAAAGCTGTTGCAAAACCAATCACTGGAAATAAAAGGATGTGAAAAGAAGGAATTTTTAACACCGTCAAAGTATTCTTCAAAAATGTGTTGTTTATTCATATGCTAACTAAGCTGGCTTGCTGGGGGATAGTCCTTATTTCCCTGTGTTGCTCTCTCTCCAGAAACGAGGCGATCATCTCCTCCAGCCAAATTTCTGCTGCAGTCTTGTAACATTAGCGAGCAATTAACAATAAGTATAATTCATAATTACAGGGTATTTACTGTCCAAAAAGCTTAGCAAGAGAACTTTCACATTAGAATAAGAACGTACTAGAGTGCATTATGCATATATACATAATGAGAATATATGGCATTTTCAGAAACTAGTGACTAAAATGAAGTTCCACGGTTGGCTTTTAAGGAGATGCAAATGGCCTGACTATCAAAGGTATTTAGCACTGACTCACCAGGAAATTAAAGCAAAACCAAGAACAATCTACTAGGACTTGGACTTGGTTGATAAAAATAGCTTGTAAACACTAACAGCATTTACATACTAAAGAATCTCTGGCTATTCATTAAATAAAAATAACAGTGCTTCCCTGTTTTTTTTCTTAAGACCAGGACGTTTCTCTGAGGAGATGGATACGTCTTCCCAAAAATACCCAGTCAAAAAGCGAGTGAAAATTCATCCCAACACAGTGACCGTGAAATATACTTCTCATTATCCCCAGCCAGGAGAAGAGGGATATGAGGAAGTTAATGAAGATACTGGAGTATTTATGGAGGATGATCCTAAGAAAAGACTACTGAATGATGGGAAAAAGAGAGAAAGGACTTTTTTTGGTACGATAGACACCAAACTTCAGCCAGCACAACTGCCAAAACCCAATGAGATCGGGCAATCCCAGCATTTTCCTGAAGGCAATATACTGCAGTCGAGGAAAACGTGGGTAGTGCTTTTTGGGTCCGCCGTGGCTCATGGATGCGTGGCTCTAATTACAAGATTAATTTCTGATCGTTCCAAAGTGCCATCCCTCGAGTTAATTTTCATCCGTTCAGTCTTACAGGTGCTGTCCATTACTGTTGTGTGTTATTACCATGAGCCCCCCTTTGGCCCCAAAGGCTACAGGCTCCGGCTCTTCCTCTATGGGGTCTGCAATGTTATCTCTATTACCTGTGCTTACACCTCCTTCTCTATAGTTCCCCCCAGCAATGGGACCATTATGTGGAGGGCTACCACTACAGTGTTCAGTGCCATTTTGGCTTTTTTACTCATAGATGAAGGCATGGCTTACATAGACATAATTACTGTAGTTGGCAGCGTGTTTGGCGTTTGTCTGGTCATGTTCCCCAACATTGCTAAGGAGGAAAACTCTTTGCTGAGCACCTGGAAGGAAGCTTTTGGCTACACCATGACGGTTATGGCAGGTCTGACCACTGCTCTCTCCATGATAGTCTACAGGTCAATCAAAGATAACATCAGCATGTGGACGGCACTATTCACCTTTAGTTGGACGGGAACAGTGTGGGGAGCATCTACCATGTTCTTACTTCAAGAGCCAATCGTCCCACTGGATGGAGAAACCTGGAGCTATCTCCTTGCCATCTGCCTGTGCTCCACAGCAGCCTTCCTGGGGGTCTACTACGCCCTGAGCAAGTTCCACCCCGCTGTGGTCAGCACCGTACAGCACCTAGAGATAGTCATCGCCATGGTCCTGCAGCTTGTCGTGTTGCGCATCTTCCCAGGTGCTTATGATCTTGTCGGGGGAGCGGTTATTTTGGTTAGTGTTTTTTTCCTTGCCTGTTATAAACTGTCCTGGAAGAATTTAGGAAGACAAGATTATCAGGAGATTGTGGATTCTTCCATTAAATGAACTGCGGTTTTGCTGTCTAATTCTGGCGATGTGACCACGTGAAAGCAACATATTTCAACTCTGTGGTGTTCTAGCGTAGTGGCCAGGTCCTCTCACTACTGTTTAAATTCACAGCTGATGTAGCAGTGTTGGCATTCGCAGACCTCTGTGACAGGTGAATTTGTTCTAGTCCGTACAACCGCTGACGTTTTGTCACACGAGAAAAGGCTGTTTGTCTCCAGCACGTAGGGTGCATGAGCGGCAGCAGGGGCTGGCCCAAGGAGTGCAGGCCCAGTCACAGGCATGTTCTTCCTCACCTTCCCTGGGTGAGGCAATGCAGAGACAGAGGGGTTCGCTACTGACTCTCTTTTCTGTGCAGTGTGGTAGTAGGAAAATTAACAGTAAAACCATTAAAATGGCCACCCAGAGCGTTCATATCCCCTGTAACACTTCTTATGCTTTGGCTGTAACATTCTAAATGAAGTCATGCTAATATTTCTGTGGTTAAAACTTGCATTTCCTGCGTGTATAAAGAATTACAAGTCGGTAAAGCTTTTTGTCCTCTGTGGTTAAATTTTTGTCTGAATCGGTGCAGAAAGCCCAGAGCTCCAGTGGGGGGAAAGAGAGCCCCTAAAACTGGATCTCCAGTTGCACCACAGCTGTGAGAGGTCCCCAAGAACTGCAAGGTCCACGATAGATAAAAGATCTACCCCTGAAGCAGAGCAGTATTCTTTCTGTGGAACCACTTTTTTGAAGAGGTTTCGACTATTATGCAAGGGAGGGAAAAAAAGGAAAAAGAAAAGATTGCATCTGAGATTGAGGTGTGAGCAGCGGCATTAACACTGAACAGCTTGACGCACGTCCAGTGACTACGTCAGCATGCTTGGGTCCTAACACTGCAGTCAGAAATCAGATTTACAAAACGCCCCAGGGTTTTGTGGTTCCAAATAGTATTCCTGGCCATGCTAATTTATGGCTAGTAAAGAGAAAGACTATCTAAGAATCTGTGTCCATGGGCTCCATGCCAGCCACCACCAGCAGTCACCTCCCCGCTCCAGCGGACTGTGCCCCCCTTCTGGGATGCACGCATTTTCTGAGGGAAAAGGCATCGCTCAGATAACCCCAACCAGTCCAGCTTCCCCCATGGAAGACACCATGGAATATACATTTTACTTTGGAAAAAGCCACAGCAGCAGCAATCGCTTTTATTCCTATGAATACCCAGGGAGAGCAGGCTCCCCGACATCAGCCAGCCCCGCTGGCAGCGCTCCTAATCCGTGTGACACTTGTAGCCTCGTCTGTCAGCGATGAGATTGACCGCCTGGGCCACGCAGGGAAGACACATTTCCTCGGGTGTTGGCACGCAGTTAGGGCTGCCCCAACAACTCTGGTTCCATTAGGAGCACGTGGAGCCGGCATCAGGAGCTCTGCCCACTGTAGGAAGGACAGGGGGAAGGGGAGCAGGTCACGCCATGCAGTGCTGGGAGAGCCGTGCCCGACACCTTCCCAGCCAAAGAACCCTTTGGCAGGGGCAGAGCAGTTCCTAGCCCAGCATCATGCTGTGCTTCAATCAACTCATTTCCCTCTGAGGCAGATGGTCTTCCCTCCTCTGAGCGATAAGACAACGGGAAAGCTTCCTTTGTGGAAAGCAACCAGGGCAAAGGGCTCCATCTCCTACGGCTTTCATGCCTGTTACGCTCTGGAGGGAGTTGAGCGTGGAGACTGCCGTGCTGACCTGCACACACACAGGCACCCAGCCGGGTAGGTGCTGGCGAGCAAGGAGCACTTACCAGCAAGGCTCCCTGAACGCCTGCACCGCGCGACAGGGACGACAGCGTCCTGAGCGAGCTCTCGATAAGCTGCCCCAACCCCAAAGCAGCAAAGCCCCCTGCTCAGCACGGCTCCCTGCTGCCTCCAGCACCTGCGCTGCGTCTCTGCTCAAGCAGCACGTGCCGCAGAGCCATGCCAGCCCCGCCGGGACCCCTGGGAGCGCACGCTGACATACAGCGAAGCAGACCTACAAGCACATCGCTGCCAAAACAGGTGATCCCACCTCCTCCACCTGCCACCGCCAGCCACCACTTCCCCAGCGTCTGATCCACAACTACAAACTGCAGCCCGGATCAGTTTGACTTCAGGATCAGGCGCAAAACTAATCCTGCCAAAGCCTGAGCCCAAACTGACGCAGGCAGCCAGCACCCAGGGGCCAAGCAGGGCACAGTCCCGTCCTGAGAACCTGGGTGACAGCCAGGGAGTGATTCCCGGGGTCTACAGGGCTTGGTCCGGGTCCAGCTGCGCCACAGCCTGCAGGAGGTCCTGCACAACCAGGTCCACATCGGCCCGAGTGGTCTCTCGCCCCACGCTCAGCCGCAAGGCATTCTGCGCCACGTCGTAAGGGATCCCGCAGCTGAGCAGAATTGAGGAGGGCCTGAAACACAGATGTGGGGGTGAGCGGGTTTCACTCGAAGACAAAGCAAGCGCATGCATCGCCAGAAAGCTTCACCAAGCTGCAAGAGGGAGAACATCTGCAGATGCCTCCAGGCAAACCCACTCACTTTCCACAGGGACCTGCTACCACTGGGCTTGTGGCCCTGTGGTGGATCTGGCTCTTCCTCTCCAAGGAAGAACCTCTCCTGTGTCCCCATGGGTTGGCAGCTCTGCCATGTCTACAGGGCATTGCTCTAGACCAGGCTGAAAGCACCTGCTGTCCCCACACCCCCGCCAAAAGGAGCCCACTGGAGATCCAAACTGGGCTTGAGCAGGTGAGCCAGGGGCACACAGACAAGGCAGACTCTCTTCTGGCAGAGCCAGGCATTGAAGAGAACTTCCAAGCTCAGCTGGATCACCAAAGCCAGGAGGTACAAAGTCCTTCCAAGTGGCAGTCAAGCGTTCTAGCTGTGTCTCCTGCAACAACCCCCTCCGCGGCCCTTCAGCCCCTCTGGAAAGCTCTGCACCCTCTTTGCTCCAGGGAACGCTGCCCACAGCCACCCACAGCCCCATTCCCTGTCCCGTTTCCCTCCCTCCCACCCGCTCTCCTCTACGAAGACGCCTTGGGCCTGGCAAAGCCGGTTGCTTACCGGTCCCCTTTCTCAGAGTGGCAGGCAGCCCCAACGCTGGCGAGAAGCGTCTTGCAGCGAGACAGCACCCTTCGCCCTGCAGCACACACGAGCACAGGTCTCCCAGCGCCCAGGCTCTCTCCGAGGGCCGCTGCCTGCCTCACCTCCCTGCCCAAGCCCCGGCCGAGCGCCCGCCAGTCTCCAGCCACAGGGAGCTGTGCGGGGCAGGTGCGTGGCTCCGTGGGCACCATCACAGGACACTGGTGGGGTAAGAGCTACCTTGAAGGCCTGGGCCCAGGATGGAGAAGTTAGAGGTGTTGCAGAGGCGCTTGGAGCCCGTGAACTGGCTGTTGAAGTGGATCCTTTGCTTCCCAAAGGAGGCCTGGAGAAATCGGAAGGCTGTGAACCACTCTGCGTTTGCGAGCAGCTCTGTTCTGATGGGGTGGTGGCAGGGCCAGAGGGACGTGCCCACCCTGGCTCCAGGACCCGCACTCTGCAGGGCTGAGGCCCCAGGAGGGGGCGAGACAAACAGGAACCAGGTCTTCTCACCTCCAGCCTGGCCTCCAGGTAATCCCGAACATCCCGCATATGAGCCTCATAGGCCTCCCAGTTCTTGCTCACCAACTCTGCAGCCTGAGGAGGGGCAACCCAGTCAGGCTCCGTTCACAGCCCCCAGCACGTGAGTCCGGCCCGGGAACAGCCTCAGCGACTGCCATGTCCCCTGCGTCCCCCAACAGCCCCTCAGTGCCCTGCGCCACGCGAGCTGCCCGACTGCCCGCTGCCAGGGCTGCAAAGCCTGCAGCACGTGCTCCGAAGCACGTCCTTTGACCGGCACCGGAAACCCCCGTCTCCTTTCCCTGAAGATCGCCTGCCCCTCTGCACCCCAAGTTTGTCACTTCTAATGACCAGGGAGTGCAGGTGGCCATCTCCATGCTGGCTCCGCCAAGCAGAGTCCCCAGGGCACAGCTCACCCATGACCATTGCGGGTGACTCACCTGGCCAAGGCCGGCGATCATTGGGGTGTTCTCAGTGCTGGAACGGAAAAGGGAACATGGAATCACCATTTCTCTGGACCAGAGACCCAACCTCAGGGCACAGACATTGCCCACGCAGGACCCCGCGCTGCTGGCAGGGGGTCCTGGACCCCTCTCTGTGGTGGTTGGGAAAGGGGCACTTCCACCCTGCGGTTCCTCC